ATATTTAATGTTATCATTTTAAAAATATCCCTTAAATTAAATGTAATTATTATTTTTATTAAATATTATTAAGAATAATTTAGGAAGTAAAGTTTAGTTTTTATATGAAGTCAATAAAATTAAATGAACTAAACTTTTCTTATTATATGTGAATTTAGATATTTTTCTAGTAAATGAGCCACCAGAAAGTATAACCTCCTACCAAATCGAATCATTTTAAGGATAAATCCAATTGCAACTCTACATTTAAGTAAAAAAAACAAATATAATATTTAATTAAGAAATACAAGTACCTAAATACTTATACTAACAACTTGCACTATTTTCGGTCTATCATAGGAAAAAAATTTGTAATTTTAGGGACAAAACTTGGATATTAATTTCAAAATCTATATAAAGGAAAAGCATAGTTTTAAAAGTTTAAGAGGAAAGCAAAAGATGAGGCAGTTTAGCATTTTTCAAATAAAAATGAAGTTTCTCATATACAATAATTTTTTGCTGGAATTGAATGAGCATGGTGTGGTTGGATGTATCTGATATGAGGTTGGTGTTGTCCTGTGTGTTAGGGACAGAAGAGAATGTGGGGACAAAGATCACATGTGAGAGTAGTAATAGTAACTGAAGGAGAGCCTTTGCTCCCATCTCGACAGCTAGCTGCATGGATCTGCAATCACATTACATAAACTCATCCTCTCTTCCTTTCCCATATTGTGCACTTTACCTTTTATTAAATAGGCCACAATTTGTGCCCTTGAATCTTCATTCAGCATGCTTTGGAGGTCCCTTTTTTGTGCCCCACATGTTGTGCCGATTAATGCAATCAAGGGTTGCTCCTATCTCGTCTGGTTTCGGTCAATCGTGGACCTCACGACTATGAGCTTTCCTAGATATATGCCTATGCTTTTCATTGCATACATCACATGATCCACTCTCTAAGGAAATCAAAACCTAATGGGTTTTACTTTAACTCACCCCATTTTACAGCTCATTTGGCAACCCCAACTTCCCCTTTCTCTCCATCTTTCTTGGTCTTTACCGTTAATGTCCATGGTGAATAATCACGATGAAAAAAAAAGAAAAAGTTATCTTTACAAGAAGAGCAATATTAGTTCCAATTTTTTTTTTTCATAAAAATAGTTTACACGTTTCTAAAAGTTGATAATCAAGAATAAATTTGTACTCGCAAAATATGATTTTCACTAACAAAATATTATTTTAATACACTCTTTGATATAAGGATGAAAACACTTAATCAACTCTCTATATACAAACTTCTATTGTTAATACTTTCTTTACTATTGATTAAAAATTACAAATTTTAGCAGATTTTATTATGATGAGGACCTATTAAATTTACAACTTATAATAAATTTTTGTTAATCACAAACTTAAAGAAATATTAAATAGAGTGTTCCTAATATTTCTCACATGTTTTCATATAATCTTAATATTCAAACAAAATTGAGTATCATCAATCGTAGATCAATTTATATGAGATTGTTTCAACTTAGAAAGTAGTATCCAATTTGAATTTTTGTATAAAACACATTAAATACTCATGGAAAAAACTTCGTTATCTAATTAAATTTTATTTGACTCGAATATAATTATGTCCAATAAAAATTATATGTGATATGAAAAAAAATAGAATTGAATGTTGAAGAAGAGAAATTAATTCGCAAGTTAATTTTCTAATAATTAAAAAAGAAAAGAAAAGAAAAAGTTTCGAAGATTTTGTCATGAAAGCATTGGAGTGCGATTATAAATACAGAAGACCGTTCACAACCACTTGCATAGTGCATTAATGGGAACGCACGTTGAGTAACCGAAAAATGAGATTCTGGCTATCACACTACTCAGATTTCACACTGCATGTGAAGAGAAGAAAGAAATCAGTTGCTCTGAGCTTGTCATTTGCATTTATTGACAAGTACTCAGCTAATTATAGCAACTGGCCACTGTCGATTACGTGAATCAAATGATCATGAGCCATTTTCATTGTCCAATTCATTTCAAAATTGAAAAACTATATTTATAATTCTTTGTACTACCCCTTGTCAAGAAAAATAAGAAATCTTTCTAGTTGTACTGCTACATTATTGTTACTACTAAGTTGGTACCTCGTTTATGCATAAAATTAACTACATATGGTGATTTAATGCAATGAATATTAGACTATTAGTTATCACTTCTGTCTAGTGTGTATTTAATAGATTACCCCAAATCATATCTTAAACTGTAAGGTTTTATATTCCTCTCATAATACAAATGTAGCAGCATCCATCTTCCTTAATTTTTGTTTTAAAAGGTAAAGATGAAAAATACATTCATGACATTTATAATAGAAAGTTGGCAGCAGTATACCGACATGTCCACTGTCATCAAGATGATTAATAACATTATACCTCTCTGCCTTTTTCATTAGTATAACACTTACTGATGTCGATCGAAAAGTCGAACCCAATCATAATGATCTGAATGATTCTGAAAATCAAACCAATATTAAATTCTTTTAGTAAAAATAACAACTAAAATAAAACAACTTTAAAAAGGGGGCTTAGTTGCCTTGCTCTATACGTATCACTATCATTTTGTTGTTATTTATTTGTTAAGTAAGTTTTTTTTTTTATTTATCAAAATCTAAGAAAATTTAGAAACTGAAAACAAAAAAAAAATCATAATTAAAGCCAAATAAGCTTATATCACACAACTATAATCACCCTTAGTCCCTTAATGTAATACCATAATTTTTTTAATTATGTATTTTTAATATTTATATAATTAAAATTGATATTTTATGTTGTTTTAAGTTGTTTTGTATTGTTCTTCTATGTGATGTCTATGTTGAAGGTGAGGGTTAAAGTTAAGAAGATCCTAAACTTAAATTATAGAGGATATATCTCAAGTGCGGGAAAATTTGTCCAAAGAGCAGAGTTATATAAGGTAAAATTTGATAAGTGAATTTTATAAGTTCATAACTCAAGATTTCGAGAGAGAAGTCATGAAATAGGTCTTTAGGAATATCAAGTTGTTGTCCAAGCTTCTAAGTAACCCTAAGGCCATGGATTACTTGAAGCTATAGAGATTGGCAGATCTTGAAGTCTAAGGAGATTGTGGAATTGAGATACTTGAGAATCAAAGTTGGGGGAGCCCAAAGCCGTAGAATTTTTTTTTTTGCTTCCTTGACTCTTCCCTATAGAGAGCTCAATCAAGGTAAGGGAAGCTTGATTGTAGCATATATAAATTGTATAAGCGTAGATGTGTTGTTTTGTGTTGAATTGATGTATGATCTATTGTTGATTGAAGATAGGCATGCTTGAGGTTTTGAGTGTTTTCAAAGGTGAAGATGAATTGTTGATTTTATACTCTTTTGTGGTTGCATGCGGTATTTTTGAGTTGATTTGTGTTTTAAATGTTGTTTTAGTAAGGTTGGTTGGTTTACATGTGAGTTTGGAGGGTTGGAAAGGGTTAGGACCATGGAGGTGTTGTGTATTCTCGCTCAACAAGATGATCCTCGATGAGAGAACCTTTGTGGGATGAAGGTTGGAAACCAAAAATCGTGTGTTTGCTAGTCTCACTTAGGGATGTAGATTTGTTGTTGAAGGCTCGCCCAATGAGAATGGGGTGATGGCCACTAGGCGAGAGATGCTTGCTCATGAGAGGAGACCCACAAAATGTTATGGTTGCTGAACGAGATGAGCTCACTTAACTAGAAGACTCACAGGGGGTCAGGGTCGCTTAACAAGCTAGTGTTCACCTGGCGAAGAGCCAAAGAGGGCTCAAGTCGCTCAACAAATAAGTGCTTGCTCAATGAGGAGCTAGAGAGGTTGAGTGGCTTAACAAGATTTGTGTACAATGCTTCTATGTCCTAGGTGGGCTAGGAAGTGATGTTGTTACACTAAAAGTGGTTATGTTGTGCTTGTTCCATTTGGGAAGGAGTGTTTACACTACAAGAAAATTACATATTAGCGAGGGACTATTCCCTTGCTATTTCGTCTCTGATCTCTCGCTAATCAGATTTGCGACGAAGTAGTGATGAAATTGCGAGAGACCATTCCCTCGCTAAATATAGGTAGCTAATTAGCGAGGGATTTAATCCGTCGCCAATCCCTCACAAAATCCGTCGCCAATCCCTCGCTAAGTCCCTCGCTAATTATATTAAGGATGCTTACTATTTTCTCGCTAATTTGCGGTCAAGCTTCCCCGCTATTCCCTCGCTAAGGGGTCGCAAAATATCCCTCTCTAATTGGTAGCTAATCCCTCGCTAATGTTCCCTCACAAACCCCTCTCGATCCCCTTGCTACATTTCTTAGCTAAGGCCTCGCAATTCCCTCGCTGAATATCCCTCGCAAATCCTTCTCTATTCCCTCGCAATATTTCCTTAGCAATTATCTCTCTATTCCCTCGCAATATTTCCCTAGCAATTATCTCGTTATTCCCTCGCAATACTTCCCTAGCAATTATCTCGCTATTCCCTCGTAATGCTTCCCTAGCAATTATCTCGCTATTCCCTCGCAATATTTCCCTAGTAATTGTCTCGCTATTCCTTCGCTATATTTCCCTAGTTATTTGCTCTTTTTTCCCTCGCAATTTTGTCTTTCACATGATTTGCCTCGCTATTTCCTAGCAGATCCCTTACTATTATAGTTTTGGTTATCATCGCTAATCCCTCGCTATTTTGTCGCAATTTTATTTTTAATATCCATATATTCATCTTTACCTGCATTTTTCATACTATAACAATCATAATTGTTTAGTTGTGATATCAAGATTGTAGTACCTGTATTTGCATATCAAATATATTGTGTCATCAACTTGCATCAAATAAAATAAAAATACTAAAGGCTAACTAAAACAATTCTAAATTACCAACATAATAAAAATATTCAGAACCAACTAACATAATAAAAATACTCAATACCAACTAATATAATAAAACTCTTCAAGTGAGTTAACAATGCTAATGTAAATAAATAAATAAAAACTAGAATTCAACATTTTCATTCTTGATTCTTCTCAAGTTTTTTGACTGATGATGGTGATGGTATCTTTAAGGCAGGTAATATCTCTTTCCTCAAAAATTGCATTTGTGCCTGCATTTGTGCCTGCATATCAGCTTGTGCCTTCAATTGTGCCTGCATATATTGTGCTTGTGCCTCCATTTGTGCTTGTAGTTGTGCCTGCAACTGCATTTGGGATTGTGTTTGTAGATTCAATTGTGACTGCATCTGTTCTTACATTTGAGACATTTGTGTAGCTAATGTAGTGATGTCTTCTCTAACAGGTGTGGTAGACACCAACTCGGCAAGAATATCAAAGGTTTGCCTCTTTGTTATGTCATATACAAGTAAAGCACCAACAACACCTCTATAATAAGCACTTGTAATGGCATGGTACCGCTCCTGACCCGCTGTGTCCCAGATCTGTGCTTTCACGGTTTTTCCCTCTACCTGTACACAAATAAACAACCTTAGTAGTGCTGTAATACAAACAAAGCTTTCTAATTAAGGTTTCCAAAAATCGATCCATGGCCACAGCGTCAATGATTTTGTTCAATTGATTTGTCCGCAATTTCCAGCATTATCAAGTATTTCCACAATACCGTAATTGTAATTTATACCTTGTTCGTAATTAAAAATAAATAAATAAATATGTGTATCATCCAATTCAAAAAACCCCCAAACATAACCAAAAAAATTTACTCAACATCCACTGCATGGTATTAGTCCTAAGTTAATAGATGATAATTATTTGGTTACTGATAATCCGAATTTTAAACTGAGAAGCAATCCATCAGAAAGTACAAAAGTCAGGCCAAGACTTCAATCAATTTTTTAATTATACTATAAATTATAAATCCGAGTCCTCATCCACTTGATCATAGCACCAAAATCTAAAATCATTCCTCCAAGACAACTATTCATACTAGTTGCTCTCCTCGGAAGAGAATCCGAGGTACTATAAGCTAATGAATCAATGCTTTGAAACAGAGATTAAAAAAGATAAAATAACATATTCAACTATCTATCTATGCAAAATTAAAGCAGAAGGAAAACATAACAGGACAAAATCTAAACATGTAAAAATGAAATAATCTTTGCGAGGGATTAGCGAAAAAAAATTTCCCTCCCTAATTTGCGAAGGATTTGCGAGGAATTTGCGAGGGCTATACTTATAACTCATTAGCGAGGGATTTGCGACAAGAAAACTCCCTTGCTAGATGAAAAATTTATTTTTTTATTTTGGCTCATAATTTGGAGAGGGATTTGCATGGCATTTGCGAGGGACTAAGTTTCTCATTAAAGAAGCACTAACTTTAGCGAAAGATTTGCGAGGAGATAAAGGTTGATCGCAAAATAGCGAGAAAATTTAGCGAGGGATATAAATCCAAGCTATTTGCTCGCTATTTAGCGAGGGATTAGAGAGGAACTGTGCTCCTCGCCAATCCCTCACTAATTAGCGAGCAAATAGCTTGGATTTATATCCCCCGCTAAATTTCCTCGCTAATTCGCGAAATTCTTGTAGTGTTAGTTCTAGATAGTCTTAAAGGATAGGAACATGAGGCTTTTGCCTTGGTCTTAATGATGTATGGGTTGTTGGATCGAGCGCTTACTACTAAACCAAAAGCTATAGCTGATAGTCAAGGCACAACTCTTTCTACTTAATCGTAGCAACCCAAGCGCCAGGTGTCTTGATTATGACTTGACCCACTTAGGTCTCCGTCGTGAGATAATTGATGCAACCCAACCCTCAATAATTGCTCCCACTAGGAATCAATTGATGATGAGTTATGTTGTGGTTGTGCATGGATCCCTATGGGGGGATTGTATGGTGTTGAGTGCAATTTGAGGCTCGTAGTTGTATGTTGTGATTCTTTTAAATGCAATTCCATATTATTATATCTTACATTGTTGTTTATCAAGATTGCCTTGTTGTTTGTTGTGTTGACTATGATGATCATATCTTGACATGGGAGCAGACAAAGTGTGGCTAGAGGATGGATATAGATTAGAGTTGCTTTGGCCATCTGGAGGATTGTGGAAGTCTAAGACATATTGGTCTTTTGACTATGTTTTGTTGTTTTAGGATTGGCTCACATGTATAGTTGTTTTGATGTTTGTAAGTAGATAGTATATATTTTGGACTATAATTTCATAAGGGATTTAATTTGTTACTTTGATAATCAAGAACTGTTTTACTATTTTGATTCCAGTCAACATTGATATCTTAAGTATATATATTTGTACATACATGATGTTCATGTTTTGTTGAATGATAAACATAAGATAAATGATGTATGCTTTTCTATTGCATAAATGATATTTATGATTACAATTGTGTTGATGTAAGACCTACCAAATTATTACACCTACCACCAATGTTGCTAAAAACATGAAGATTTTATTAGATTTGAAAATTTAGTTTAAATCAATCACAAAAGTTCTTATTAGTGTCTCTAACATATAATTATAATATATGACTTAATTATAATATCTTAATTAATGTGAGATATCTTAAATTTATTCACATTTTTACAACTTAATATTTAGAGCATAAAGTAAGAGTGACTATTTATAGACTGGCAAACATTAATAAAAAATAAATTTTGATTGCATATTACTATATTAGAAATGAACTAAATATTTTAGCTAAGTACGAAAAAGGGCAACTCAAATTGTATAAAAGAAATATCCTGAGGTCATAAATCATTTGGAACATCTAAGCACATTTAGCTTAATAAAATATTGCTTAATTTTTTATATCTACAATATATATATATATATATATATATATATATATATATGTATATATATATATGTATGTATATATGTATCTATGTATGTATGTATGTATGTATATGAGTATGAATATGATTTTCATCTTTGTAGTTTTTTTTTCTTTCATTTTCCGTATCTATAATTTCTTTTGAATCATTCATGTAAATTTAAACATTTCATTTTTAGTCTTTACTATCAATCATCGTTACAAAAATGTTAGTTTGTTGAAGTCATCACGTATATTGTCAATAAAAGATGATGTTATGATGATGTCATCATGTGTTATATTAGCAAAATAATATATCATTTTCATCTGTGGTGGGCCGGGCCGGGCTCAATTTTTTCCAGCTCACCAATAAACGAGCCGGGTTGGGTTGGCCCACCAAAGGCTCAACCCGTGGTGGGCCGGGCCGGGCCGGGCCGGGTTACCCGTTTTGACAGCTCTAAAAAAAACACATGAAAAAGCAGCAAATATCATGAAATCTGCTATAAATAAAGTTTACTTTTATATGGTATACAATGATTATATATATTACTTAATTAATACATAATTTTATATTGTAAATATCATATATAAATATTATTTGTCGTCAACCAATGTAACCTTTAGTGGAATGGTTTCACTATACTTAAACAACCAAATATGTATTTGAGCTCAAGTTCCTGGTGTTTGAACAACCTGCATAACACATTAGGCTCTATGCTGATTGACCATTGTAGGATAGTTTTTAAAATAATTTACGTAAATGGGACTTTCTTGAAACTATTTATACTTTTAGGACAGTTTACAGCGGTGTCATTATGGGTCATAGCGACACCAATGTCACGTGTAAGTTTTTTATTTTTTAGAAACCATGAATGCCGTATTATTAAAGTCGCTGTAGCTGATAGCGCTTCATATAAAGTCGCTACCATAGCGACACTGTAGAAAACAACCTCAAAGGTGTAAATTTTTTCAAAACAGCCTCATTTACGTAAATAGTTTTAGAAAGTCAATCAGCCTAGGGTCTAAGAAAACGTGTGTAATGCGAATGCATTAATGGGACACCACAGTTAAGCAAAGTTCACATTCATACCCAATTCATCGGTTTAACCATAAAATGAGTCTGGTCACACTCATTCAAAGTGAATCAATGACATATCGTATCTAACGAAATGTGTGAAACGATGGTCTAGTTCATGGTTCAATCGGTCTAACCCACTAGTTTAAGTTGATTTTTTTGAAAAATTATTATTACTATAATTATTATCATTTTCATCACTATATTCCTCTTGAGATTATTATCCAACCTACAGTAACACTTAGGTTTCTTAGAACATAAAACAAATTGAAACACTAAAAAATATGTAACATCATGTAACTATTATTATAGTTTAGGAAATTTAAAAACACTAAAAAGTAACTTAGACAATATCAAAAGATATATGAATTATTTAAATAAAAATAAATTAAAAAATTACAACTAAAATTAAGAAAATGGGTTTTAAGTAATTATTTAGTCGAAAAACTAATTAAACTTCGATCAACTAATGTTTCTTCTTGATAATGTGAATTTATATTTGTCATGTTATCTTCAAATTGAACTTAAAACTTTTCAACATATAGAAAATAATATTAGATGATATATCTTCATGGACCTTGTTATATAAATCTATCTTCTTTATTTTTTAAATTCTTCCAATTGTCATGTATTTTTATAATATGCTTTTTCTTATTGACTAAAATTTATTAAGAGTTATAAATTTTGTTGAATCTCATTCTTTATTTAACGATTATTTTGTTAATTTATAATTTTTAATAAAATTTAATTAAAATTAAATGGGTGTTAAAAATATATCTTTAACTATGAAGATTTAAATTAATGTGAAAAAAAATAGTTAAGGACTAAAACTATAAAAAAAATATTTTTGACTGATTTAAAATTTGAATCTTATTTCACAAGATTCACTTACTTAAGTCATTAATATTATTTGAACCAAAAAGAGTCTTATACATAGTGAAATTTGTGTGAAAAGAGTCCAAAGAACAATCAAAAATTAAAAAAAAAATCTAATTTCATATTAGTCTCTAGTTGTTTGTGTGATATATTTTTTTATGTGATTTACACTATATTTATTTCTTTTTTAATATCAATTAAATTATATAGTTTTCATGCAAGTAAATCTAATGAGGTAAGTTTTACTTCTTAAATTAGTCAAGTAAATATTCAAAATCATATCATAAAATTAAAAATTATCACTATTTTAAAAGGATTAAATCAACTCAAATTTAAAAAATAAAAAACCAAATAAATCATAAAAATAAGATAAAAGACTTAAAAGTGTAATTTAAATGATGGATAAACTTTTAATTTTGAGCCTTAAATTATACGTATCAGTCATTTTAATTTTATGCAATGTCGTCTTTCACTTTTATTCTTTTTGACACAATAAAGAGAGAAAAAAAAACTAAAATGAATAAGATTTTAAAAATATGAAATTAACGAAAAAAATTTGAGAAGTCACATAACATTTACTATCTCAGAAATTAGAATGAGAAATCAGAAACTAAAAAAATGATTATCTTCCAAAATAGTTGAACACGCTAAAAGTAAAATCATCTCATTGTGATAATGATTCCCTCAATTGGAATACATCAATTCCTCGAAACAAGATAGATACCTATAAAATTTCTACAAGTTGTTAATTAGAACTTTAAAAGAAAAGGAGTAAACCCAATTACTTGTGGTAATTTTGCACTATAAATATTTGTAGTATATAGTGAAAAGTATAAAGTTTCTTAAAGCATGATTGATAATTTCCTCACGAAACACATTTGGTGGAGCTAGCAATGTAGCCCCGCTATTAGCATTGATGTGACAATGGAATGTTGCTCCAAGTGCATAATGCCTATCATCTTCACATAAAAAGATTGAAAACGATCGATGTTATTTCTGAACTTTAAGTCATTATCATCACTATCCAAAGTCATCTTAAATCCTAACTCAAACATGAAAATGTGATGTTTTTTTCTTATTTATTATTTATCAAAATCCAATTTGATATAAATATTTATAACTATTCATGCTAGATTAAGTTAGACCTCCTTGATTGTTGTATTTTTTTTAAATCAAAATATCTTCAATAAAAAATTAAAGATTAATCTCTTATATTTTAATTAGAAAAGGGAAAGAAATCAAAGAGAATGAGAAAATAGATGGAAAATTATTTGATAGAAAATATGCAAAAATATAACAAAAATTATAGTTAGTTGGTTGAAATTAAATTAAAAATAAATAAAAATTGATATCTTGAAATTATATTTTATATAATTAAAATTTTATGTTAAAATACATAATTTACTTGATTACCATTTTATCTTTTACCCTTTTTTAATGTATAGAGTTTGATTTATATTTTCTTTAATATAATTTACTAGCATAAATCAATTATGTTAGTTAGCATAACCGACCATGTTACATTGTATTTAGGACACCTTTGTACTGTAGTTGCGTAATTAACTATGTTAAATCCATAATGAACTATGTGATTTTGGTTCAATTCTAGCTAGTATTATATAGAATAGATTATTCATTGATCATGATTATAATAGTGAACTCTTCTACACAAATAACATGACACATAATTATTAGAATCATATATAATTAAATATAGTGAGAGAAAGAGAGTCATGAGTAAAATGGTTACTTTGTCACAATAGGATTATTTTAGTTAGACCTAAGTACGGGGTGGGTTCGGATAGGTTCGAGTTGAAAATATTTAGCCTAGCACAAACCGACAAAAAAAATCAGTCCATTTTTTATAGTTACAGTGATTCGGGTTTGTCGAGTTCAGATTGGTTGGGTCTCGAATCAGGCAGGTCGGTTTAATTGGGTTGGGCCATATTAGGGCCAACATTTTTTTTTGTTATTTTTTCAAAATCTAAATAACTATTTAATTAACTTGTGTTGGACCTACAATTTTTTTCTACAAGTAAGAACGAATGCGGAAAGACCACGACACTTGATTTACATTCCTATAAAAGATGATCTCTTTAAAGTGCTATCAGAAAAGAAATTGACAAAATGATAACTATGTTGACAAGTAGAGACCCAAGAAAAAAAAATGACTGACCAGAAAATTTTCAAGAGGATACGAAGAAGAAGACGAACGAACCAAATTGTCTTTATGGTAGTAGATGGAGAAGAGAGAACGATTACGGAATGGTACAAGAAAGAATTGAACTAATAATTTTATACATGTCTTTTAATTCTTATACAAATTCTTATACCTCAGTTGGATTCGAGTATCGACAAGTACAAATATTTTAACTTGAATCCGATCGAAAAAATCCATTCCAAACTGAAACAACAAACTCAAAGCCCCAAAAATTCGAGATTGACTCTCCAAAGAAAAAAAAATGCACGCGGTTTCGATCTGTTAGGCCTACTCGAAGGCCAGGTTGAGTTGAAATTTATATAGATGGAACTACTCGAAAAGAATATAAAGATAACACCTACCAGTAACAGAGGAAATCTTATGTGTCCATGCTCGAGATCGAAAAGAATTGATTTCAAGTATTAAGGATAATAATGACGTTCTTGGAGAAATCGAGAAGCTATCGAAGATTACATATGGTTGCACCGAGGTAGTTATTAAAGCGCGAATCAAGGAAATAAAACACATAGGAGGAACGGTTAAAGGAAGTTACTTTCTAAGCCACGTATTTTACGAAGTGGATAGTAGTTACGTGCCCACGACACATGCATACGAAAGATAACTGCTCTCGAGAGTCTCTATAAATAGGGGAAGCATAGCCTTTCACAAAGGTCGAAAATTTCATACTCACACTTCTGTAAGCACTTTCTGGCTGCGCATATGGCTTCCGTGCACGCGTTTGCTGGGTACTAATTTCTTGACCACATTGCTTTTCTCTTTTTAAGATTAGGATTAGTGTAGTCTTCTTTGTTTCTTTTAATTACGTAGTTGTGAACTGTTGGTACTGTAATGCCTGAATGTTAAGCACAGTGAACCATGATTTGTATTGCTAATATATCTATTGTTCATTCTGTTTATTTGAGAATTTATGCGCATGAATATCATTACCTGTTAATCATTGACGAATACTTGGAAACAATCAATCATTGAAACCTTCTACTCCGTCTCTCGTTCTGTATTTCATTTCACAAAAACAAGTCAAATACCTAAATTGAAACACTTCTCGTGTGCTAGTTCGAATAAAAAGAATCCGTAAATTCCACCGTAAACAAATTGGCACGCCCGATGGGACACGTTTAAATCACAAACATAATTGGACTAGTCTAAGGTATGCATTTTGTATGAGACTTAGGAGTGGAAGAACCATGTCTACGTCTAATAATAGGAGAGAAATGAACAGTGATAATCAAGTAGATGTAGAACAAGCAAACCCCAATCCTGATAATGTGACTAACGTGACAAGGGGGCAACATCTTCCCCTGTTGTGCTTGAAAATGTGGCTAGACAAACTAATGCGACTCAGGAACTAGCAAATGTCACTAGGGAATATCCATGGGGTATGCCACCAAATTGGCGAAGTACCCAATCCGTACATGTCGAAATGCCAGTACCTTACTTAGGACCAAATCCACAAATGCACATATTCCCACGGGGATATAATCCTGGACCAAATGGTTTGGGTTTTGTTATGCAAGACCCATATCAACATGTAGGGACAAGTCAGGAAGGTTCCTTGATTCGACGGGGTATTTATTTACCTATTGGTATTATTAATAAAGCCATGATGGCTCTTCGGCAACAGATGGACCATAGTAATCATGACATTGTCAATTTTTTGTCAACCCAAATTCATAATATAATGACTCCTTTGTATGAATTAATAAACAAAATAGGAGATAAATTGGGTGATGGACCATCTTCGAGAGCCATGAGTGCAAATCTGAACGAGATGAAAAATCTAGGAGGGAATGGAATTTTTCGTCAAAACGTAATTCGACCTAATAGGAATCCCAATGATAATTTAGATCAAATGGTAGAAAGAATACTAAACAGGTATGGTTTCAAGGTAGGTCGAAATGAACGTCCTTATTTTGTGTCAGCCTTCCCAGATCACGTAACTCAAGTAGAACTGCCTAGGGGAACAAAAGTCCCAAAATTTCCGAAATTCGCATGAGAATTAAATGAGTCTAAGGTCGAACATATAGCTAGGTATCTAGTCGAATGTGGGGATTTAGCGAACAATGAGTATTTAAAAATGAAGTATTTTTCGAGTTCGCTAACTAAGCACGCTTTTACATGGTTCACAACCTTACCTCCTAATTCGATAAATACTTGGGTTCAATTGGAAGGTAGTTTTCATGAACATTTCTTCAGAGAAGAAACGAAAGTTAGTATAGTCGATCTAATGAACGTTAAGAGACAAAGCCATGAAACGTTAGATGACTAATTAAATAGGTTGAGACAATTAAAATCTCGATATTATACTAATATACCTGAGCATGAATTAGTTAAGATTGCAGCAACAGGGTTAAATTTTTCAATACGTAAAAAATTGGTAAATGAACAGTTGAGAGATATGTGAGGATGCTAACTATGAGATTTCAAGTAAAGATTTTGAGGTTAATTTAGCAGAGTTGCGTCCTGGTCCTACTTATCAATGTCAAATGTTAAAATCAGGGGACAATATAGAAGGGAACTCGACTAAGAGATACAATTTCGATGTGACTAAGGCAAATAAGATATTTGATATCTTATTAAAAGACAAACAAATTATACTCCCAGAAAACCATAAAATGCCGCCATTCGAACAAAGAAAAGGAAAGAAGTTTTGCAAATATCATAATATGTATGGCCATTGGACTAATAACTGTGTGCGTTTCAGGGATATGATCGAGAAAGCGATCATTGATGGTCGCCTTGCTTTCGAGGAAAAGGACATGAAAGTGGACACTGATCCATTTGTCGTTCACACTGGATATGTGGAACCCGTCTCGATGGGAATCAATATGGTTGAAGTCAGCATCGAGGATGATGAAAATATTGAGCCTATTTCTGATGAGAAACTCAAAGAATTGATGGATGATTTCACTAAGGAGGAAGAACCTATCTATCCAAAAGAGGGAGATAGTTTGGTTGAGTTTCTGTCGAAGAAAAAGGAGGCTGATAGGGAGGTTATGTTGTGTACTCGATGCAGTGTTGTCTTCCATAGAGCTGCTGCTAAGGCTTTCGAGGAGTCAGAAATCATGAAGAGCTACAAAGCCGAGAAACTTCGAGAGAAGCCTAAGCTTAATACTAGATCGAGTGCTGGGTTAACCATGAGGCAGGTCGATATGCCTCAGTATAATGCTCCTATGGGTAAGATGGAAATGTATAATTCATCGAAATTCGGCAACACTTTTGTGCCGAACGCAAACGTTCCAGTGGGAAAATGGAATGCCCCACCAAGGCCAATGGTTGGCGAAATGGGTCGAGGAAAGCAAGTGATGAATTATGCTGGGCATCCAGTCCAAGGAATTCCCGGGAAATTCTCGAATGTATCTGCAGGTCCTGGTAGATTCTCGACTGGAAGTTATGGGCGTGGTTTTCGACAACCCTTTAATAACTTAACCAAAACTCAGTGGAAGAGGCAACAAAGAATGTGGAAGGCTACCTTTGAAGGTTTTAGAGGGAACCGTTTTTCGATTCCTGTACCCCAAAAGGGGGAATCATCTCAAAAATTCATCAAAGATGATGAGGATCTAATAACTGACTGTTTCGAGAGCGGTTTCGATGATTCCCTGGAGGATATCTGTGGGATAGTATCAATTCTGCCTTCCGAGTATGCTGGAGCCATGGAATCTGTCAACGAACAAGAAGATATCCATCGAGAAGATTTCTTTGATGATCCTAATTATGAGTCCAAGATTGTGTGGGTTAATCAAATTTCAAGGGTTATCCCCAAATTTAATTCAGCTGTATTTGATTCCCCCACTGAAGAGATGAAAGGTCACCTTAAGCCTTTACTGCTAACTTTGATGATCGAAGGGCACGAGGTGAATAAGGTTTTGGTTGACGGAGGTGCAGCTGTGAATATATTGCCAAGGACCATGTTGAAGAGGTTTGGGAAGTCCACGGCTGACTTGAAGCCCCATAACATATTGATCTCAGACTATGCAGGAAAGTCATCACACCCTGAAGGCATGATTTTGCTTGATGTTCAGATCGGAAGCGTGAAGAGAACTACTATGTTTATAGTAACTCCATCAAAGGCAAATTTTAATGTCTTGTTAGGACGTGAATGGATTCATGGTGTAGGAGTTGTCCCTTCAACTATTCATCAAAAGATTTTCTTTTGGAATGATGATGAAGGCTTGGAAGTGCTCGATGCGGACCAAAAGGCATATGAGGTAGGTATGTACTTCGCAGATCAACAATTAACTGCATTTGCGAAGACCAAGCCTTTCGATGCCTACAATGCTGGAGTTATGGACGAAGAAGAGGGGGTTAAGAAAATTTTCTGCTGGGATGTGAATAAAGGTTTTGTGATTCGAGCCGAGAAAGATTCGGCTCTAATTGAAGAATGAAGGATCAAGATCCTTATTCGAGCTTTTTAGCTCGAATGTCAGCCTATATGGCCGATCGAACGGCCAACATGGCCGAGGGTTGTCAAGATAAGGTGGTAAGGTCGAATGAATCTGAAGTTAACGAAAGTGGCACGACCACTTTGGCCGAGGAAAAACAAAAAACAAAGAAAGAGCAAGTGGACCTCAAGGTCGAAAAGAACAAAGAAAAAGAAAACAAAGAAAAATCGAAAGGACCAAGGGGTCGCAAAGAAAAAAGAAAATCAAAAAACAAAAAAGGACAGAATGGACCAAGAGATCGAAACTTCGAAAGAAGATAAAAAACAAGAGTCAGAGTTCAAATTAGATTGTATTTTCGACGATTCGCCATTGGGATTCGAAAGAGCAACCAATGAAGAACATAAGCTAGAATCTCAAGACCCTCTCGAAGAAATTAATTTGGGATCTGTCGAAAATAGGAAAGTTACTTATGATAGCAAGCTCTCGCAAGGGGAACTGAAGGAGGAATTAATTCGAGTTTTGCATGAATATAAAGACTGCTTTGCATGGGATTACGATGAAATGCCGAGATTGGGACGAGGATTGGTAGAGCATAGGCTACCCATGATCCCTGGAAAGAAACCTGTCAAGCAAAGCCCTCGAAGGTTCGCTCCTGAAATAATCGAAAAGATCAAGGAAGAAATCGAGAGATTACTGAAAGCAAAGTTCATCAGGACTTCAAGATATGCTGAGTGGATATCGAATGTCGTGCCTGTTATAAAGAAAAATGGAAAACTCAGGGTATGCATTGATTTTCGAGATCTCAACACAGCAACCCCCAAGGATGAGTATCCTATGCCTATTGCTGAAACTATGATAGATGTTGCTGCAGGTAATGAAATTATGAGTTTACTTGATGGATATTCTGGATATAACCAAATTTATATTGCAGCTAATGACGTATTGAAAACTGCTTTTCGATGTCCAGGTGCTTTAGGCGTCTATGAATGGGTGATGATGCCATTTGGATTGAAAAATGCAGGTGCCACTTATCAGAGGGAAATGAATTTAATATTCCATGATTTAATTGGTAAGTTTGTACAAGTGTATATTGACGATATAATTGTTGGGTCGAAACAAAAGGAGGATCACTTATGCCATTTAAAATTATCTTTCGAGAGAATGAGAAAACATGGTTTAAAAATGAATCCACTAAAATGTGCTTTTGGTATTACAGCGGAAGAGTTTCTAGGATTTGTCATACACCAGAAACTAAAGTGTTTTCTCCTATGTAAGAACTTCAATCTCTCCTATGTAAAGTAAACTTTCTGAGAAGATTTATATTGAACCTGTCTGGCAAAACTAAAGTGTTTTCTCCACTTTTACGTCTGAAAAAGGAGCAAGAATTTCGATGGAATGAAGAGCACCAGAAGGCGTTCGATGAAATCAAAGCTTATTTGGCTCATCTTCCAGTGCTTGCACCACTCTCTAAAGGAAAGCAACTGAAGTTGTACATTTCAGCTAGCGATTCGACTATTGCGGGCATGCTAGCGCAAGATGATGATAATGGCATCGAGAGTCATTTATTATTTAAGTCGAATTTTAGTAGGAGTCGAAACTAGATATACTCCTTTAGAGAAATTATGTTTAAGTCTTTATGTTGCTTGTACAAAGTTGAATATTATCTTAGACCTTGTGATTTTGTAATATTTTCTTGAAGTAATGTGATTAAGTATATGTTGTGTAAACCTGTTTTACATTCTCGAATTGGCAAATGGGCACTTGCGTTAACTGAATATTCATTAACTTTCGAGCCATTAAAAGCAACTAAGGGACAAGTAATTGCAGATTTTCTTGCAGACCACTCGAAAGAAACTGAGGAAGTTGATTACTTGACCACTAAGCCTTGGGAATTATTTTTCGATGGCTCGAAACATGAATTAGGCACTGGGATAGGTTTGTTAATCATTTCTCCTGAAGGAATTCCAACTAAGTTATCATTCAAAACAAATAGAGGATACTCGAATAATGAAACTGAATATCAAGCGCTCATTACTGGACTCGAGATCCTTAAAGAGTTAGGTGCTAAGAATGTGGTGATCCGAGAAGATTCACAACTCGTTATTAAACAACTAACTCAGGAATATAAGTGTTTGAATGAAAAACTAATCGAATTCAAAACTCGAGCTGTACAATTACTAAACGCATTCGATGCAGTCGAATTACAATATGTTTCTCGACATGCGAATACCATCGCAAATGAATTGGCTCAGGTGACATCGGGGTATAAAGTATGTAAGGAATGTCTCGAGTCTCTGATTCATGCAGAAAATGAATTGATATGCCATCTAGAGAGTCTAAGTGTGAGTTCATCGAGTCAACAAGATTGGAGAAAAGAATTGGTCGAATATTTACAAAATCCAAATTTGAAAGTTGAAAGAAGGATCAAACTCCAAGCTCTCAATTATGTTATGCTAAACAACGAGTTATACAAAAAGGGTTTCGATGGGATTTTGTTCAAATGCCTTGGGAATCATGAGAGTTACATAGCTATGGTAGAAGTACATGAAGGTATCTGTGGTGCACATCAAGCAGGTGAAAAAATGAAGTGGACCTTGTCGAGAAAAGGGTTCTATTGGCCAACCATGATTAAAAATTGCATCGAATTTGCAAAAAGTTGTGAGGAATGTCAAAGACATGGGCCAATACAAAGGGTACCTACAAGTGAATTGCATTCAATCATTAAACCCTGGCCATTTCGAGGTTGGGCAATCGACGTAATAGGGCAAATTCATCTACGGAATTCCTCAAACAATTACCACTAATCAAGGCACAGTATTTACTGGTCGAAAGGTTGCTCAATATGTTGAATCTCGAGGAATTAAATTGATAACTTCGACACCATACTATACACAAGCAAATGGACAAGTAGAGGCCACGAACAAAATTATTATCAGTTTGATTAAGAAGCATAGTTCGAGCAAGCCTTGAAATTGGCATGAAACACTTGTTCAAATCTTATGGGCTTATAGAAATTCTCCTAAGAATGCCACAAAGACTACTCCATATAAACTGGTGTATGGGCATGAGGCTATTCTTCCTATAGATATTAATTTACAATCAATTCATATACAGAAACAGAATGATTTGCCCATTGAGGATTATTGGAATTTAATGTATGACGAGTTAATATCTTTGGAGGAAGAAAGGTTGTTGACATTACAAAATATGGCTCAACAAAAAGAAAGAATCGAGAAAACATAT